TTAATTTTAAGACCCATGAAATATATAAGCTGTGAAAATTGATTCTGATTTGGTGCTCTCTAAAACATACAATGAATTATTACGATAATTTATTTTAAAAGCAATGCTTCCATAAGATGTTTTGTGAAACTTAACCAGCAGAACTTCCAAATAAGCTGTCATAAACCACATGCTCATAAAACACTTCAAAATACTTTTAAATCTACCTCTCCTATTCATTCCAACTACCTGTGAGGCACAATTTAAAACCACCCTTCAATTTTGAGTTTTTTAGTTTTCTCTAAGTACAATACACCTACATGATGCAGGTAGACACACAATTTATTGTGAACCCACAACAAAACGTGTAGCATTCTCTACCTATAAGTAAACAATTAAGACTTTGGTTACTAACTATAACTTTTCTTAATTATGATCTGGAGAGCATTCAGCAACACTATTGTTAGTTTTCCCTTCAGTCACATACTAGCAAATGAAACGTACTGCATTATGAAAAGGTATCCATGATTAATTTAAATGTTATAAACTGTCTTGAAATTCATGTTTATAATGAAGGAAGAAGTGAAGAATGAATGAAATGAGTGAATGAAATTGAAGAATGGATGAAAACAAAAAGCTATTTCTGGACTTTGCCCATGGTGAAGCTTTACCATTATATGGTTCTTAGAATATTAATGTAAATACCTTCTTTACGGTTCATGTATAATCATTAGTTTTCAGTTATTCAGTTAGTTTCTACAGAGAAGGAAAAGCTAGGTATTTGCCCGATACATTAAAACATTTAGCACGTTTAGATTTGTCTACAGTTCTAAATCCCTAAATCAAATTTCTCTAATAAATCTTCACTCTTATAAACATGAGCATCATCAGGAAAAGATGTCTTTACCTTGTGGTTGCAGGCAGTGAAGGAAGTTTAAGTTTATTTTACTTTATGTAGGAGAATTTATAATAAGTTTCTGTTGCGAAATTTGCATACAGCATGTAAAGTGTTGGGAACCTCTCACTTAAGAGGTACTTCTCATTTGAATGCAGGAATATCCTGAGTCCAGCCCATTCCAGGTTCAATCAACAGTCTATTTCAAAAGCAGTCTATTTCAAGTTCAATAACAACATTTTGTGCATAGCATTTGTACCTATGATAATTTTGCTATGAAATGCAGAAGAGTACCATCAAACTGATCAGTGTTTGGTCTCAGAATTTTGCCTGCTTGCAAAACTTAGCAACATAAATCAAATAAAGATTGAAAAAAATATCGCATAGCCAGCAACTACAAATGCTTCCATCTGATCATTTTCAAATCTAACCACAGAACTTGCACGACATATGTCTTTAGAGAGGCTTGGTTCTCCTCATTAAATTTTGCAGGCTATGTTTCCTTGATTTGATGATATTAATATATTCACCTTAAAGCCACATCTATTCCTACATTTGGTTTGTTGCCCAGCAGTAAAAAGAAAATATGTCATAAATTTTGAAGAACGTTGAATTTGCTGGTGTTGAACAAGATTATGTTTTTCAATTACATGTGATTTACTAACCTCCCTAATAGACAACTTAATTTTACAGAGATGTCCTAAATCTTAAAACCAATTTTAACAACATATTAAGAACTGTCACTCTAGCCTTTACTCTCACTTTAGCCTTTGACGTATTTTCTTTTTGATGACTCCTCATGTTTTAAATACTTTTCCCTTCCCCAGTCATTTAATTATATGAAATCACAACCAACACGGTTCAATAAAAGTCACTTTCTTCCTCTACCTGACAACCTTCAGAGCTGATTTCTAACCCTCAGACCAAAACTTCAATGCCACTAAGTTTTATTTCTACTCTTTGCCCATTTAGTGGAAAAAAAAAACAGGATTGTCAACTTTACATGAAAAATTATTTCAATATCCTTTTATAATTTTAGAAATGTAATATTAACTGTAATATGAATTAAATATGCCAAATTTAAAAGGAATTTTGAAGTCCAGCCTTTATAAATTTGAACAAGAGCCAGTCATTTTTTTAATCAAAACCATGTTAAATATTCATTCATGTTTCAATGTGAGCACTTATAATAAAGTAAACCCTTCAATGTAACCATCAATACAGCAAAAGCCTTGAAAAATCATAGAATCAATTTTATTGCATAACACTAAGGCAAAATTTTCAGCCAATATATGCAAAGATTATGTTACAATGATGGCTAGTATAAAAGGGTTCACATTAAAATACAAGTTATTCTTAACATACAGAAAAGCAAAGCAAGGCTGTGACTACAAATAGCGTTATACAATTAAGAGGAAAAAAAATCTGACACTATCATATTACAGTATTTTCAAAGTAACTTCTTATCAATGACATCAATATACTGGACGAGGCAGGACAAGAAAATAATATCTGTAGACTATTGCCTTATTAATTATATATATTAAGATTATAGTTCTCTTTTAATAGAAATGTTAATGGTCAAAGAATTTTTAAGATAGCTTGCATAAGTTCATCTCATTATTGGTACTCAGTACAGACCACTACCACTAAGAGGGCTGATCCTTACGAGATAGTTAAGGTCAATCACTTCAAAATATCAAGAAAAAAACTACAGGGAAAATGGAACTCGCATTACATCTTAGATGATTTAAAACGCGTAACACTTTACCATGCCTGTAAGTGTTGAATAGGAAATATATTCTAGCATTGAAAGACAATTTAAACTCCGTGCCACAACATTTCACATTGTCTAAATACGTGTGTAGAGACACACACACACACACACACACACACACACTCTCTCTCTCTTGATTGTCCAGACATTCCAACAACTCCTTATTACTCCCACGTACCAAACTGAAAAAACCAATCTTTTAATTCCTCCTCCATCTCGCATATTAATAAAACCAAAATTAGCCTGTATTGCCATGGTACACTTTCCAAAGGGACCATAGTAGCTTTCCTCATGATGACTAGGGCTACCCGGCTACAACATTGTGAAACCAGCTAGCAAAGATTTAACTGCTGACTATTTGAGGTTATGGTTAGTTAAAAGAAATGAAAATTTCTCCATTGTTCTTAATTTTCATTTCTTGCTTTTGTTTTCAAGTAAAATCAGGCATTTAATCAAAATGTCCTTTCCAATTATCTCTGCAGTGAGCTACAGCTTCTACATGGACATATTTTTTGTCTTGTACAAAATAGATAATATATGCAATAGTAATTTCAGATTGAGAAAATCTTAGACATAAAAATAAAGTAGACTTCTGCAAAACCACTATTTTCTGCCACCAGAACTTTCAAAAAGGACATATCATATATAAGTTGTGGCAAACCAGGTATCTGAGATCCCACAAGATCTCCCTTTCCCTGCTTTATTTAATGCAGAAAATTAACAAGTAGGCCATAATCAGCCAAGAAATTGGACTGCAAAAGATTTTGCAGTTATGAGGCAGAGAATATCACAGAGTTTTGTCTGGTGTTCATACATTCTGAAAACTAAAGTAACCGGGATTCTTTAACTGAATTAAGCAACTACCTGAGAAATTACCAACTCCACAGGCAATCACATTTTAAGGTAAATCAACACTACGTTCATATTTTCCAACTAGTGCATCAAAGTACCTATGAATATCACCATTTAGACAGGAATACCAGGTACAATCCTATGATTCTAAAAGCCTCTTTTACTAAGAAAACAGTGGAATTTGGCATGAAAAGAAAATTAAAAGAAGAAAACCAAGAAAATATGAAAAGACGACGACTACGGTTTTCATCCTTAAGGCAACCTCCCATGCAAAAGTGCCAAGGGAAAATTTCCAAATACAGAGCCCAGGTTACAAATGTGTTGAAGGTCAATGGCACTCCGCAGAACTAAGATGACTCTCAAGTGACCTGTCTGAGCTCACAACACCCATTTGACACAAACCACTCATTTTACTGATGAGGACCAGGGCAATCATAGCCAAAGCCAGTCACACAAGCAAGTGCCACCAAATCCTTGAATCCTCTGAAGAACAGAGGCCAGATAAGCATGATTTCAGAGACAGATGTTTATGGTTGAAGTTCAACATGTTTATAACAAACAACTTTAAACCATTACCAGTTTTAATCTTCTAATCTATAAACAAAGTACTTACAAGTTTTAATATACGGGTTGAGGATGCTCCACATGCTTGAAAAAACATAAGCATTTAAAAGAGTACACAAATACTAGAGTTGGGGGTCATTTGAGTTTTAATAGTTAACGCAGACAACAGTGATGGATCATTGTTCCTTAAAATTGGTCCTCTCTAGGTCATCAAATTAATTAATTAAAACAAGGAGTATAGACTTAAATTTGCTTTACAAGCAAAAGCTTTGAAAACAATTTTCTGATGAACCGGGGACTTTTTCTGAAACTTGTAACTGACATAGAAGTGTTGGGGATAAAACATCCCATGTTCCAAAGCCTCTGAACAAGCCTTATTAAGAACCTCAGACAGAAGTCACATTATTATGACTCTTCAAAATTAAATTAATTCAATATTTCATTGTTGGAACATAATTCTAAATGCAAAATTAAGAGAAATTATTCTTCCTCACTACACAGAGTAACAACTTTTTCTGTACCTAAAAAGTTAGTAATGCAAATGTCTAGATCATGGTAAGAAATATACCACAAAGTATATCACAATTTCATATGAAAATATTTTAGAGAAATTACTTTAAAAACACAGTCAGGCAAAAGGAAAATTAAGTAGCAGCCACTTCTCATACAACACAACTACGACTGCAAATTACAGGAAAAAGTGCGTACTCAGGTTTTATATTCACTATCACTGAACAGCGATACTTAAAATAGATATCAATTTTACATTTATCTTCAGCTAAGTAAAATATCTAAAGGAAAATAAAATTCCTAGCAAATTCTTCTGTATCATACACTACCAGTAAATGAAAACATTATCATTCTCATGCTGCTAAAAATTACAAGCCAGCATATCCTCTAAAAAGATCATCAATAGATTTTGACATTACTCACCCCACTGGAGAGGAGCCAACTGTAGATGCTCCAGGACCAGTTGATTAAGAACGCCTTCCACACTTGCTTCCCCTTCACGCTTCAAGGAAGGGTAAATTGGAATTAAGGAAAATTTTGTCTCAGAGAGAAAAAAAAGCACGTAGTATGTACAACTTTTATTATTGCAAACAATTGCAAAAAATTGCCAGCTAGAGATTCATTAAAGGTTAATGTTACATATTTGGTTTATTAACCCATGAATTGGCTAACAATAATAATTAGAGTAGTTGATATTGTCAGAATATAAAGATTTAATTCCACTGAGGAGTGATAAATATGAAGATGCAAAGGTAAAATGTACCTGAACCATAGTAAAACAGTAGGGGGAAAAAGTCTGGAAGCTGTAAAAATGCAGAACCTGTAACAATGTGGTGCAGGATCAGAATTCAAAATGACAAATTAAGAGCAATCTGAAAACAAAAAGGATAAAATTTAATAAGGCAATACAAAACGGAACAATTGTGGGCTAGGATAGCTTTGAAGATTGTCTCGGTGCCAGTTCTGTAGAGGTACAGGGATGTTAGACAATGCAGTGACAGTGCCATTATCAAGAGCAAACATCATACCAGAATCGCACAGGCATATAACCCGCAAGCTTCCCTTTCTACTCACCCCTGCATGAGCTCAGTAACAAGCTCATACTGAAACAAGAAAAATTAGGAAACGTTCTTACTCTAAGGACAGTGAAGCACTGAAATAAACTGTTGGGAAAACCAGAATCTCTGTTTCTAAAGGGCTTCAAAACAGGTTACATGAGTGTTAATATAAAAGCTTAGGCAATAGCCAATGTAACACAAAGATAGTATTTTCCATTTAAACAAATTAATATTATTTTCATGTGTGAAGCATCAACCAAGATAACATGCATCTGTAACAGGAAGAGCACTGGATTTCTTTCTTCTAATTCCCTGATTTCAGAAAGGCACTGAGTACCAAGGGGTTTGAAGCACACGCAAATGTCAGCACCATCTTGTATTTGGCCAAAGCTGCATTCACTGGCTTTGGTACGATTTTGTAGCACAAGAAGCCCCTATCTTGGCTAGATTGAGAGGAAGAAGTGGAGGTGGAGCAAGCACGGCTCCTTCACGGACACACATACAGCCTATGAGCGTCTGAGTACTTACACTGGAATTCTGGCAAAACTTCTATTGTCTTTACAGCTCAGCTCATGCTTTCCCAGAGCGGGAGCATCACACAGAAACAAAATTCAAGAGAGAGGCGGGATCCTCTCTGAGACTTGGAAAAAATCCTTTCCCAACTTTGTAATCTTCAAGTGAAACAACCATAGGTGAAGTGATGTCCCACAATAATTAAGGGCTACGCTCCCAGGAAGATTGATCAAGGTTTCAAGCAACAACTCCAAAAGTACTGGAACCATCTTGCTCAAAAATAGATTAAAAAAGTAGAAGAATATATGAGCTGTTATAAACAGCTCCTAAATGTGATCAGTTCTTTTTCTGCAGAACTCTGGAAAGAGAGGCACATCATCTGACTGATAAAGTATGTTCTCATCTGTGTCATTTAAAAGAAAATTAACAGGTACTGCAGATAACTAATTTCTACCACAGGACATAATTTTAGAGGCTCTCCAGGAGATTTAAAAGAAAAGTCTTGAAACCTCAGATTAAAATGAGATCTAACAATTAGTGATTGAGACTCAAGAGCTCAAGGAGATGATAGAAGAGGAAAATCAATACATTGTATAGCATTCTCGCAATTTTTTTTTAATAATTCTCATTATACCCTGAAAAATGTCTTAAATAGCTTTTTTTTCCCTAAAAGGACTACAAATGAAGAATTCACAAACCCCAAAGAGTCTGAAAGCCATAACCACCATTAAAAAAAAAGCACTTCAGTTTGGAAAACTGAAGGCAGCAGAATACCACCTTAGAAAAATATTGCTGCTGAAAAATAAGACTCAGGACACCAGCACAACAGAATCATTCCTGTAAGCGAAACTATAGGATAGAGACTACATAATTTGGATTACTTCATAGATATAGCAGATAAATAATTCTCTCACATCTTTAATGTAAGGTATATAAGTGAGAGAAAACACTAATAAAAAGGCAGTATTTAAAATAAGTTTACAGACTGGATGTACAGAGTGGATGCCATTAACTGTAACGTTAAACTAACTTAACTGTAATTTACTTACAACTGGCTCACAGTGGTGTCTGGAATATTACAATTTTTTACTGCTTAAAGCTCCATGGAAAGTTTAATGTCTCAGATACTATTATAAAATGACTATAAAATACGTGATTCTCCATACTTTAGCATTGGTAAATGCTATCAAAGCAGATCCGTGTATTCATAAGGAAAATACATTTTGCAATTTCAAATTCAACACAACTACAAATTATTTCTGAAGCCAAGTGCTTCTTAGATTGGATGAAAAAAGTATGCATAGCTATACCTCAACTAATAAAAAAATGACATACCTACACTTCTTAAATCCTGTGTCCAGTTTTGGTTCCCCAGTTCAAGACACTGAAATACAGGATAAAGTTCCAAGATGATTAGAGAGCTGACGCACATAACATACAAAAAGAAGTTGAGAGAACAACCAGAGTTGGTCTTGAGAAGAGAAGAAAGCCTAAGGAGACATTTTATTGCTGTCTATCATAGTGGGAGGGTATAGAGAAGATGGAGCCAGGCTTTTCTTGGAGGAGCATAGCAATACAAAGAGGGGCAATGGACACAAGTTGCAGGGCAGGGAGTTATACCAGACCTGAACAGGTTCCTTTCAACCTAAATTATTCTACAGTCAATGTAACCTCGCAGTCTTGAGATTACTCCACAGGAAGACCTGGCAGTCCCAGTGGCATTCAGTGCAGTATTCAGGTTGCCCCATAGGTATGGCAAAATAGACTCAAACATAATGTAAATGCCTAAGTTGCAGAAACCGATTCAGAAAACACGCTTTCCCTTGCCAGCAAATCCCAGAAGTACTTCATGCAACCAGTACCTAAAATCTTGCCCTCAGAGTATCTAGTCCATCTTAAGCTCTGCTGCCAAGCAGACTCAAAGACAAAAATCACTGAAGTTGACACAGAAGCTCAGTATAGTTGGTATAGTCTAACCATTCCTAATGGACACAAATAGCATTGAATTTCATATCATTGATCTTTGTCTCTTGACTGTGTATCACACAATTATATAAAATTGCTCATTATAGTGCAAATACAAACTGAACATTGTAGCAAACTCATTGCCTTGGAGATGAAAAGCAACCAAAATGTGCAGTAATAAAATGTCAGAGCAAAAAGAGAGAAAAGCTTAACTCAAGAGTTTGCCTATTTTCTAAGACGAGCCTTTAGAAGTCAATGAAAGCAAAGCAGTTGGAACAGGGGGTGCCAATATACCCTTTCATTCTTAGCTCAAAGTGGAACCTGATAGATGACAAAAGTGTAAGGTCCAGAATTTAAAATTCATCAAAAAAAATTGCACGGATAAACGGAAGTACAGACTGCCAAAGTTAAGTCTGACCTTGCAGAATCTATCTACTTGACCTCCAAGCATTTTGCTGAAATCTCACCGTGATTACAAACCTGCTTTTCCATAGGAGTCAGATACTTAAATGCCTTTGTTGACCCAGGTCTCACTTCCAACACTCAAATCTTTGTTATTAACAACACATACCTCAGCCAGGACTGCAACAGTTGACTTCCAGTTTCCAGTGCAACTGTTCACATTTAGCAGTTCAAGACATGTTCATTTCCACAATCAAATGACTTTCAATGGAGGCCTCAGAGCCAATGAACACACAACCACCAGATGTTGTTTAAAAAAAATAAAAACTAAAACCTAATTTTTCACAGTAGACACCTTTATTTCACGTTTCTTTAGCAACAGATTGTATATGATATAAACTGTTTCATACCGAAAACCTGAATGACAGTTAATTAGCTAGTTATTTCCCCAAGGAAAACATTGGTCTTTTATACTATCTTGATTGTCTAATGTATACCTCAGTACCCACAATTATAACACAGCATGTTATCTAAAACTTACTGCTTAAAAAGACAATAGATTTTTTAAAATGGTAAAGTTACTCATGTTTTTTCTCTCTGCAGCATTCCACATCTTGCATCCTTCTAAAAAGATTTATTTTCAATAACATATTTCTCAGTTCCTTTGCAAATAAATACAGGTGGAAGCGTGCACACAATCATAAACAAATTAGCAAATGTTCATAAATAAAAATTATACTAATGAAAAACAAATTTAAATGATTAATGATCATAGTTTACTTATAGCAGTAGCCTTACTCATATTTTAAGCTTTCTGCTTGATTATTATTGTGGTACTTTATTATTAAAACTAATTACAGGCAGTTATTGAGGTTCTTATATAATAGTTACTTTCACAAACAATTGTTGATGCTAAGAAGCTGCATGGAAATGTAAAGCTCCATCCAACTAAAGCATTTCTAAGGAAACCTTTACTGATGTACTAAAGTTCCACAACATGCAATATTCTCATAACCGAAGATCCATAATTATGATCAAGATGAAGTCATCAAAAGCTGAATAGGCACACAGAAAAGTAAATTTCAATAACAGTTATCAGTGGTTTGCTGTCAAGCCCAGACAGCATATCAAATGAGATGACTCAAGGTTCTGTCCAATACATAATAATTTCAAACTTCTGATTGGCTACTTAGATGATGAAATACAAAAACATTCATAAAATTTATGTATTTGGAAGAGATGTCAGTGTTCACAAATAAATGAGTGGAACTTATGAAGATCACTTAGATGAAATTCAGTGAAGAAAAGTTCCAAGTATCACCCTGGAAGGAATCAACAAATCTATAAATGGAAGATGGGAATAATTATTCAGTCAGTTATGCTGGACCACATGCAAAAAACTCAATCAGACATGGGACACCTGCAAAAGAAGTCAAGAACAGTTCTCAGAGCAAGCATCATATCTGAAACATGGAAGGTATAGCTTTTATTCTATGAGAAACCTCACCTGGAGTATTGCTTCCAGCTTTGGATCCCACATATCGAGAAAAATATAGCTATACTGCAGAACAACATCAGCAATATGACTGAAAGAAAATGTGCTTTGAAAAAATGTTGGCAATTAGGTTTAAATATAGAAAACAAAAAACTGAGGAAGGGGCACACAGTAAAATTTCAAAAACGTAAGAAAACACTGCAAACAGGACAGGCTTCATATAAATCACAGAAATTAATGCTGAAGTAAGAAAAAAAGTCTAACTATTAGAAAAGTTAAAAATGGAACATGATATTTAAGGTGGCACTGGAAGTTTCATTTTTTAAAGGCTGTTAGGGCCAGGTTTAGAATATTTTCAAGAAAATTACTCCAAAATGCTATAGTCTCATTTCACTGAAAGAGCAATTCTTTCACAGTACATTAGAAAACTTTTCTGGCTGCAATCAAACCTGGGTAGAGCAGGAGACAGGGTGAGGAAAAGGAGTTTAGTTTTCAACAGTCATTCTCTGACCCAGCCCACCGCGTGGCTGCCCAAGTCACAGAATAATTTATATTGAAAGGCAATTCCAGAGTCACTGTCCTACCCTGTGCTCAAAGCATGGAAAATACTGAAAATGCATCAGGCTGCTCAAGGCCTTGACCAGAATTTTTCAGTATCTTCAAAGACATCAATTTTACAGCACTTTTGGACAACCTGTTCCACTATTTGAGCACCCTCATTGTGAAAAGGATTTTTCCTAGTACCTAACCAGAATTTACCTGGCTGCTACTTGCTACAGTCACCTCGTGATATGCCTCGCTTGAAGAGTCAGATGTACCTTATTGAGTGCTCAACTCTTGGGCTTTGAGAAGGTTGCCCTCAGAGGCCATCAGCTCTCCTGGACCCCTGTGCTCCTGAGGGCAGCCTCCTGTGCAATCCTGCCTAACAGTTCCCTAAAGTCTCCTCTCCTAAAGTCCAGAGTCATTCTCCTGCTACTCGCCTTCCTCACTTTCCTTGGAATATTAAACTCCACCGTCTCGGGGCGATGGTAGTCAAGGCTGCCATCAAACTTCACCCCTCTAACTGGATCTTCGTTATTTTCAAGTAGCAGATCCCACACAGCACATGCCAAATCAAGCCATCCAGCACCTGTACACAAAAAGTGTCCTTAAAGTACTCCAGAACTCTCCTAACCCGCAATTGGAAGACTTCTTCCAGTTGTTAAAGGAAGAATCCGTCCAGCTTTGCTTCTTGATTGGGTGGTCTGTTACAAATGCACACTGCATCACCCTGTTGGACTTCTCTGTTCTTGATCCAAAAGCTTTCAATTGGCCCACCGCTCATTTCCTAACAATTCCCTGTGCACTTCAGCATCTCTGCCCAACCTTCCTAAATAACCCATACCCACCTGTCAGTGCACCCTGTTCACGCGAACTACCAACTGTGTCTCTGAAATCCCGACAACACCAGAGCTCTGCACCTGCATACTGACCTCTAATTCCTCCTCCACATGCTTTTGCAAGGTCAGGTCAGCATCTGACATGGGCTCTCGATCACACTTCAGGGTAGATCCGGAGGTCCTAACCCATCACTTTCTCCTGCCCATGCTTCCCCCTTCTTGCACTGCTCTACAGGCTTTGGGGTCCATCCTGCAAAGCACCAAGTTTAAAGCTAGACTCACTTAGACTAGCAAGTCTGCTGGCAATGTTCTTACCTCGCTTCATCAGGAGGGTGACAAGAGGCACCCAGAGCTAGAGGACAGAGAAAGACTGCTCATTAAGCAGCAGCAAGAGTTATGACAAACTAAAATAGATATAAAACTGAAGCATAACTAACTTCTGGATGCTACCCCTAGCCAAAACTTTCCGTGCTTTGTATGAAAAATCCCTTCCGACATCTGAACGTTGATAAATCTTTGTTTATTATTCTAAAAAGGAGGATCACTTGAATGTGACCAAATTATCTGAAATAATTCTGAACATATTTGAATTTCTGAAGTCAAAATGTAGATGGCACAAATCAATGGAATACTCTGAAGAGTAATAATCTATGATGGGTCTAACACAGAGCGTGGAAAGACCACAGAGAGAAGTTTAACCTACGCTTCATCTTCCACACGGGTAACATGACATTTCTTAACTCAAGATTTTGAAGAAGTCAGGCACAAAGTATCAGTAAAGATATGAAAACCTTAGAGCACTCAGCAACAGACACAGCACTCTAGAAACTTCAAAGGACACAGTACAGATGCCTTGATCCACAAGTCAGAATGCATAGAAGGTCCCCGAAGAAAATATAAATGGTATTTAAAAATATTTAGAAAATATGAAGAGAAGCATAATTTGAAAATACTAGCCACGTTAATACTACATGTGCTCCGTCTGTTCAAATCCTGTGTTAAAAAAAATCCAATTGTTAAGCTGATACCAGATGCCATCTAACATGCTAAAAAACAAGACAGCATGTTCTTAATTTAAATGATCTCAATACACCTATCATCTCAAAGATACACTAAATTACATTACTCCAGAATTTTTCTTAATGGAAATGACACAGCAGTAAGCTTTCGCATAAAAAGGTCTATTTTCCTAATAATTTTCATTTTATCAAAAATGTACAAATGTTGAATTGAATAATATGCTGTGTTGTCTTTACCTCCTGCCTTCAGCCCTCCAAAAGTATATGAAAATCAATTAAGTTTCACAAAACTTTCACAAACAAAGCACTGAAAATCTCATCACTTGAAACTCTGAATATTTCAGTGGATAAAGCCATGGAAAATGGACTTTCCATACTGGAAAATACTTCTGGTGCTCTTCAAGACATACAACCTGAAATCCTCATCCTTTGTGAACTATTTTTGGCCCTCACGGGAGTTTCACGTAACAAGCTTTTCACTGCAGTCAATGTAATCCACACACTTAAAATTTGAAACCTTTGTTTATGTGACCGTTTCATAAGGTATCAACCAAAACAGTAAGAATTTAAGGAATTGCAAGCTAAATAATACAGCCCTTCCCTTGTAAACAATAAGATTACTTATAACAAAATTGTCTAACAGTGTTCTCTAAAATACACATTCCTCCTCTCATGCATATACTTGGCAGAGAAAGGGTAGCTGGAGAGCTCAAAGTAGTTCAAAGACGGTAGACACCAAAGAGATCACTTGGTCTTACCATTCAAAAGACTTTTGCAAAAATGCCTTCTCTAGTAAGAAATATAAGCAACTATATCCCTTTGTATTTTGCAAATACTTTTTATCTCTTGGCTGCATTTAGGCTGGCTTCCGAAGGAAAACAAGGCTTATGCAGTTAAGCCATCCATCCATTTCTCTCTGTCTGTCCGTTGGTATGTCTGAAATAAACTCTGCCGGCCAGCATCAAATTACTCTGGTGGGAGGACAGATGTCTCAGAAACGAAGTTTCTCAAACTTAGCAGAAGTGAGAGGAGCGATTTTGTGTTACTAGTTCACATCTAAATGTTGCTGTAAGAAATAAAAGGATGAGAAAGACTGACTCTACTTGAGACGTGAAATCTGGAAAACAGTGCACACATGCAATTTGTTGCCTTTCATCAGAATACTTTTAGCTGTAGGAACAGAGAGAACATTCATAACAAATCTTAAAAACACAGAAACTAATGCTTGCACTGAATTTAACACAGAGAATTCATGCATTGTTCTATTGGTTTTCTAAGGTACTGACTTCAATGTCAGCCATGATAGTTTTGGTATCAAAATTAGGTTTAAATACAGAACACAGAATGGATGTAAACAATGCTGCTCAGCAACAGAAATGAATGAGGATGTATTTTTACACCCTGACAAAATTATTACAACTATGCATTCAATTCCAGTGTAAGAATTCAGCTACGCTATCAAAGAATATTTATATCTTTCCATAAGACAGAAATTTTCTAAGTGAGTTCTGGTTAAATATTAACATTTTTGCATAAACGGAACTCTTTCTGAAATGTTGCTTAGGGAGCCTGGATGGAACCAGGCACTAGGAATCTCATTTATGTCTCAAGTGTTGCCTTTGACAAATCCTGTGCAGCTAATTTAATAATTAGTAATGAAAAATCATTTCAGATCACTAGATAAAAGTAGAATTAAAAGTACAAAAAGAGAAACCACGATTTGATTGCCACTGTTCTCTCATTTCCTGCCACCCATTATCACGTGAATTTGAGGATGATCTGAGTGAAAAATATAAATCTCCTGGAAGATGCTGAGTATCAACACATGGCTTGAGGGGCTGTTGGCTGCACAGAACGTTTCCCTGATTAAAATTATGAAAAAGTGTATTTTTGACAAGCCAAGCACAAGATTTTTTATGGAAATCATGAAATTTGCAGCAACCCCATTGGTTTATTTTAACTCTAAACTGAATGTAATTTCTTATTAATAATCATAAGGCAATATTTTACCACATTTAGAATGATTATGGGGATTTTATGTTTAGAATGAATAAAGTCATCACGCAAGTCCTTTCCAAGCCTTAGAAAGGCTACCCAATATTAGATATATTACTAAATCTGTAAAGAGGACTTGGAAATAAATTATTCTAATATGTTCTGATTTGCTCAAACTTAATTAAATAGATGAAAATTCTCTAAATCCAGCTTCATGTATTTCTTCATGATTCAGTTACTCGGTGTGGGGGAGAATAGAAAAATTTGACCCTATAAAACTACTACTCATCAATCCTAACTATACTTCCTCAGTTCCCTAAAAGTTGGGGAAAACACACAGGGTTTGTGGCAGGCTCAATGACTCAGAAAAAGCCATTATAGTAAGACCCAAGCATCGTCTAAATAATATACAGCACAATTAACCTTAAACAGTCTATAATTATGATAAGCTTCATAGTTCTAATTACTTTTCAGTAACACTGCTATAAAGTGAGTTGAATTATAAAATAAAATGTGTCATAGGGCATCTATTTATATATTTTTAAAGCAAGTATTTACGAAAGGATATAATTTTCCAGCAAATCTCCAGTTTGCTGTTAATCTCCAGACCTTTTGCTTGTTGCCTTTCTTCTTCCAGCTGCTTTGCATTCGCAAACTGTGTCCCATCGGTAGGGGATTCTGGGAAGCTCTCAAAATTGAATTTGTCAACTTGGATAGCCATACTGTAGCAAAGGGAAAAGAAAGAGGAAAAAAAACAGGACTTTTACTATAACAATTTTACAGATATTACTTCTGCAGAAAATGCAGACCACTGTAAAACCAAGCACAATATTAGTATATTTGTCTCAGTGGCATCTAGTCTGTATACTAATGACACATAAGCCATATGATTTATGCTACTGAAAACAGAAGTCTAAGCCTATTGAAGGTGGTAAGATTTTTTACAAATCATCAGTCAACATCTTAATGCCTTTGTGAGTGGTACACAAGACACCTGTTTTGCAGCTGCAACCAGTTGACCTTATTGTGGTTCTGCAGAGCCTGAGAGAGCACCTTCATCTGCCTTCACTCTTGGTATGTAAAAGCTCCTGGTGTGCTTAAGACTCGCTGAAAAAAAGCAACAAGACTGGGCCAAATGCTGATGAACATACTATTTAAAGTAGTTTATTAATCTCAACCTATACACAAGTGAAGCAAAATATTATATACAAAAGTGTCTCCTGAAGTGAACAGTAACACACTTAGAAAGCCATGGGCACTTCGTTGGTTTTACAAGCCAACTTCCTGAATTTTCCTTTAAAAATTTCCTTACAAAACTCAGGAAGGAAAGACAAAATAACCACAGTACTAGGGCCTAAATGTGGCCCTTGTGTCTTTTTCTTTAAGAAGATACTTCCATCTTGCTTAATGTATCTTCATGAATTACAGGCAATATTAATTTCAATATCATAGTATAATTCATTGGTAGTAAATGGTTAAATAATTGCTTTATTAAATGTACAGTAAGGCATAAAAGCAAATTAAATTAAATATATTACGCTATAATGCATACTAAATACTTATATGTTAAACTAGAATCACTAATCTAATATAAAAGGGAATTTAGACCAGCTCACATCACATGAAATGTGGTTATAGCAGATCTAATATACTGTGCTGCCAAAACAGCTTTAATTTCCTGAATTGTCTGAAATAGAAAAATAATTAGGGAATTAAAATATATTGCTCTTGAGATGACTTTGCACTTAAGGAAAACAGAAGACCAAGCAACAGCTTTGAAAACCGTTCATGATGAAATGCAACTACAGTCTAAGAAGGGGTATGGGAAGGGCATTTCACAAAAACACAGGATTACTATTATTCCTTTACCTATTTCTACATATAAAGAGGGAAACATATTCTATAAATGTTGCCAAAAGGAAAACACTAGTAACAAAAGTCAACAAGAAAGGGCTTTGAAATCCCCCCAGACCAGAAGAGATTTTCTGTAATTAGCATTAATTTAAGAGAATCTTGACCCTAAAAGAAACTGGGAGAAAATACACGGCAATTACAAGAACAAGGAATAATCTAGAGCTTATGAAGTTTACTGTGGAAAGATGAATTCAAATAGGCCCATCAGGCTTCACCCTGAGCAAAAACTGACATCTCAGGAAAAGCTGTTAATGTTCCAAGACTACCTTCATCATTAAAAAGTACAAACACAACACTGAGACAAAGGTGGCACAATTACTGTTTCTATAAGCTACCTCTTCTGCAGATAGCATCTTCGCTGATCTTCACATTTAAAAATCAAAAAAGGCAGAGGAATTAACCTATTCCTCTCTGAGAGGTGTTTTTGTTTTGGCTATTTTTTTCTACAGCAAGAGATCATTAGAGTTCTTCATTTGCATGCAAAGACCATCCCGTGGGCATATAAAAAAGCTAACATGAGCTACAAAAGTGTATCACAGTAACTGCCGGAATCACGCCAGCAATAAAGAATGTACTGAAAAACACCTAGATAAAATCTGTAGAGTGGATTTAAAAAAAAAAATCCAGCCTGAAACTATGACTAACAACATCAGTTCTTACTGGCATTGAAATATGATTCGATTCTGCAAATGCTGGTTGAGTTTCCTGGATTTTGCATGGCCAATGCATGTGGAAGACAGAGACGCAACTGGAAGATTACGAAATCAGTTTTGCCTTTGTTTCCGAGATTACTTCATCACTCTGTAGTACATGAGCAGATGCAAACCCAGTACTTGATTTCTATTATATACACAGTACTGCTTAAATTCTCACATAAATACTCATAGTTAGTTACCTATAGTCATATTTCAACAAGAAATAATCTCGGTTCCAAACAGTCAAGCATATTTAGAATCCATCTCCCAACAGACCTTGAAAACAGCTCTCATCTAATTATTGTGCCACACTTAGAAAAGTGAATGATACATTAGAAAAACAGTCCTGCCTAAAAATATTTAATATTTAATTGAGGGCATTCAGATTGCATTCTTCTGTTAATGGATCATTACTGGCATTATGGTAATTTTTTTTCTGGAAATTAAATACGTGCGTAAGCACTTTTTTCTCCAACAGTCTACAATAAATCCACATCAGCTTCAGGAATACCGCCTAGATTACTCTTAACAACAGTTCATTGTAGAGCTCTGTTTGAAATAACTTTTATTAAGCTCTAAGGTATGGAAAAGTTTAGTAAATAGGGCTCCTAGTACTCAGAACCTCTACTAATTTTTCAAATCTTTTAACCATGTTTTTATTTACACTGTGTATTTAGCACAGTGACACCTCACATCACATGAGAAGATACAAAACCACCCCCAACAACATACTTGCCAGCTAGAAAGTGAAGAGGTCTGAGTAAAAGAGAACTATGGAGAGAAAAATATCTCCCACAAAACAATATCACAAATACAGCTGTAGGCAGAATATATGAAAGCAACAAACAGATAAAATAAATTTTTTCAAGACTATAGTTACACTCAAAGTAAAGCATGTCAAAATTAAATCCTAGCTCCTTTCCTTAAACATATATCCCTTTAATCATCAGTATTCTGCTTCCTCTTGTGCTAAAAATATTCATATCGAGTTTTGTCTCTGCATTTTTTATCAAAAATGTTGCTTCAGTATTTATTCCTCAGCCTATGGAATGTGTAGTAAATTGGAAGGCTTTACACAAAAGTCAAAACAAAATATAAATACCATAACCTAAATCAGTCACTCATCCTTAAAAATTCACCCCTACACAAACACGGCTTCTTCACTTCACTTTTAATATGATGATTTCTCCCATCTCAAAAGATGCATTTCACCAGTGAGGTATTAACGAACGGACAAACAATTCCTGAAGCCAGTTGACTGAAGGAGAAAATGGTTAGGCTGGACATTGGATTACAATCACCAACTAAAAAAAGGACTTTTCATTTTTTAAGTGATCTGTAGAGATCACATGGACTTTATCCTAAAAGAAGCAGACGTCAGTGAAAGGCAACCTCCTGAACATCACCCAACTTTGTCACTGTGCTGTGCATCAGAATAATGAAACTGAAATATATTTTAGCTGTAAAAGTCTTTCTCCACTTCTGTCTACAGTTACTTTACAATATATGTTTCTTGTCAAGAGTTCTCTGCACTTCTTTTCTCCCCAAATTTGTCCTTGTTTCATAGAATCATAGAATAGTTTGGGTTGGAAGGGACCTTTTAAAGGTCATCTAGTCCAACCCCCGTGCTGTGGGCAGGGACATCTTCAACTACATCAGGTTGCTCAGAGCCCCCTCCAACCTGACCTTGAATGTTTCCAGGGATGGGGCATCCACCACCTCCCTCGGCAACCTGGGCCAGTGTTTCACTACCCTCAGCGTAAAAAATTCCTTCCCTATATCTAGTCTAAATCTACCCCCCTTTCGCTTAAAGCCATTCCCCCTTGTCCTGTCACAACAGGCTGCTAAAATGTTTGCCACCACCTTTTTTAGAAGCCCCCTTTAAGTACTGATAGGCTGCAGTAAGGTCTCCCCAAAGCCTTCTCTTCTCCAGGCTGAACAACCCCAACTCTCTCAGCTTTTCTTCATAGGAGAGGTGTTCCAGCCCCTTGATCATTTTCGTGGCCCTCTTCTGGACCCGCTCCAACAGGTCCATGTCTTTCTTGTGCTGAGGGCTCCAGA